AAATTTGTACCCAATTAGTAAATGAACCTTCATTTCTCATTGTTGAATAGTTATGACGTCACGCCCCGATCACCTTACAAGTGTCATTCAATTTTGTTTGCCCCTCCGACAATCGGAATTTAGTCGTTGTTCCTATCGCACGTCTTTGTTCTCGTCGCTTGTAAAAACGGAGTTTTATTAACCGCTATTGTAAGATTTCTGAGAAGTGAAGTGAAGTTTTTTATAATGGATCTTGAAGATCGAGGTATGTACTGTACTTTAAAACTTATATTCATTTGTATATCATTCATATAAATATTTTTTTAAATTTTATTAGCAAACATTAAACTTAGCATAAATTATAGTTTTATTTTTCCTTTTTTAGTGTTTTAGTTATAAAGTTCGGATAGGTTCGGTCAAAAATGATAGCACAAATATTAGCCTATCTTGTGTACTATCATTTAAACCAAAAACATAATCCGCCAACATCCGCCTTTTCGAAATATAGTTCTTTATATGAAACAGTAATTTAGGTACTAAATTTAAAATATTTTTTGTCTTCATAGGATTTGAAGAAACTGTCCGGGAGAAAAGTAGGACAGATCTCTACAACTATATAAAGCAAAGTTCTGGACGATTACTTGATGACAAGTTCGCATACATGAAGGATTGTGTCATTAGGGAAACTAATTGTCCAACTGAAAAAATAAGTAGTCTCAAAAAGGAATTGAAACTGTTCAAATGGCAGTTCAGACACGGATGGTATCCCATGACGCCTACACTCCACAAATTGTTGGTTCATGGACCTACAATAATAAAACATGCCATAATCCCTATAGGCCAGCTCTCTGAAGAAGCGGCAGAAGCGAGAAACAAACACTTTCGGCAATACCGTACTGATTTTGCTAGAAAGTTTTCAAAAATATCTTGCAATGTGGATGTACTAAATAGGCTTTTATTGAGTTCAGACCCATTGTTATCGTGTACGCGATCAAGATTTATGAAGAATAAGAAGCCATTCACAAAAGAAGCATTGGAATTTCTTATACCAGAAAGTGATGATTCTGAAGATACAGGAGCACAATATACGACAACGATAGATGATTAGTTATATATCTGATGATAATGAATTTGACTAATATAGTATTTTGATATATAAAATCTATTGTTTTAATACCCTCTACCCAGTAACATTTTACTTTATAATTTATTCTTAGATAATATTAAAGGTACGCTAAAATTATCAATTTTAACGTACCTGAGGGCAGTATAGTAATCGCCATTGAGCAAAAATAGATAAAATATGACCAATTTATCAGTTTAGGTAGTTAGACCATAAGAAATAGTTTTGGCCAGCTTTTTGTTACAAATACCCCACCGTGCGACGTTTCGGATGCTTTGCAGCAGCTGTGGTCACGGGGAGACTAAAGATGGAGGATGTCTCTGACGTCAAACGCGTTTTAAACCGTTTTATTTAAATGTGTACTACCCGCGTAAACTATAGACAGTGTTTTGTACTAAATTTATAATTTTTCTGAAACACATTGGACTCCATCTGTAAATCTGGAAAATTCCGTCCTCCCATACTTTAGTCCTCCCATAAAGATGACAAAGACGTCAAGTTTAATGGCGTTTCGATTTCAGTCTGTGGATTTCCGTATTTTGAACCCCATGCTTGTCTATCCTCTATCATGAAAAATATTCGTGTCCACAACGTTACGTGGAAAAAGCATTCACCATTCAAACTAATTTTAACTGCACGTTACGGACTTTTTCCAATTAAAATTGCTGAGCAAAAAAGAAACAATTAACGCTAATAACGGCACGGTCGGGACAATATAGACTTTCATGTCGCACATTAGACGGAACCTTATTTTGGACATTTCGGCGAATATGAGAAATTTTAATCACTATTTTGGTATATTAAATAGATACAGTGCATTGAAAATGTATTTGTATGTATTTTATTTAAAGATTTTTACACACTCAATATTAAAAGTAATTTCTTCTTACAATCTTTCTTCTTCTTTCTTACATCTTACACCTTTCTTGCAATACTCGTTTACTAATTGTGTCAGTTGCTTTGCAGCAGCCGTAGTTACGGGGGGAATAAATATGGAAGGTGTCTGTAATGTTATTGCACACGATGGCACTATATACATTAAAAACGATCAAAGACTGAAAAAAAAATACGATTAGAGCAGGCCTATATCGCTGTTCCGTGCTGTTGCTGTAACCAATTGAAACACGGAATGCTGTGGTGCGGATTCAAGTCCTGGCCGAGTCTTAATTTTTTAAACTTATCGATCTTAAAGAAAATATCTTAAACTTTCCGTAATCAAGCCGCTAAATCTCTCGATAGCGTACAAAATTCTTGACACTTCGCGGATTACTTGTACGTTAAATTTTGTAGGTTCTTTTGTGCGGAGAACAAAGAAACGGAAATAACTTGTATAGCGTCAGCACAATTGAGACGCCCAAGAGCGCGTCCGCCACTCCGAGAGTCGCGGAGAGGTCAAGTTGAAATGGTTTACTCGAGCGAACCTGTATCGGGCCTCGTTAGACGTACCTCGGGGTTCAGCCCTTGACTGTACGTACTCGATAACTGCTGTAGGGCCTGGAAAGGTCGCAGCTGTAGAACGGAAATACTTTGACTGGCTTGTTTGATATTAGCAGCGTATGCACTAAGTAAATGTAATTTTTGTATTATTTAAAAATGGAAAATATGTTTGACTACGGCAGGATTTGAACCGACATCGTCAGCGTTCCGTGCTGTTGCTCTATCAATTGAGCTATTGAGTACCGAATACTTTCAGGACTCGATAGCTCAATTGATAGAGCAATAGGACGGAACACTGACGATGCCCGATCAAGTCCTGCCTCACTCAAAAATGTCGAAAATTAAAATAATCACTTTATTTTCGATTTTTAAATTATATAGTGCCATCATGTGCAATAACATGTGAAAAATATTAAAGTTCTCAAATGTTCGTATTTAAATAAAACACTTCAAACGGTTTCAAACGCGAAATGAACTAGTTAAAATATAGTGTTTTTAACTAATATATATCGCGTTTTAAACCGTTAAAGTGTTTTATTTTAATATGTCCTACTCGCGTAAACTGCAAACAATATTTGCAATTATTCTCAATGTAACTTAAAAAACCCGTTATAAAAATGGTTGAGCCTGTTTTAAACTATCATCCACAGATTATAAAGCGGCGTCTGTGAATTTTAACTGTGCGTCTTAATTATACGTTATTTGAAATATTTATATTCCGTTAAAAAAATGGGATATTCCAAGGATATTACGCGAGTAGTACAAAATTAAATAAATAACATATTTAAAATATATTATTAAATAAATACATTTTAACTATGGTGCGTCGTTTCCGGTTTTTAACCCTCAAAAGTGTCCTATTTAAATAGTTAACAAATAAATTTAATTTAAAACCGAAAATAAATTGAAAAAAATTTCGACTCGGGGCAACTTGAACCGGCATACATAAGCACAGTGCCCCAATTGAGCTACGAGTCCAAAACCCATGACGTTTTCAACTTTTTGATACATGCACCTCTCGCGAGTTATTTCAACCTAACTCGTGCGACTAAGGAAATATAAAATACGATCAATTTTACCGTTAAAAGTCACGTAATACTTACATGATAATCACGGGAATTGATTCTATGTATATGTTAATAATAAATAATAGGTTTTACATAATTATTTATTGTTTAGTGTCTGTCCCGTTAATGACTATTAATTAAGCAGCAGTTAAAAGACAAAAGCTCACCATCCGTCACTGAAATAGCTTGGTGGGTTTGACCCTTTTCTATGCGCGAAGAGAATCAAAGCAATGCAATAATTCTGCGTTTTTACAGCCATAACAACAGAAGGTGTTAAACCGATATAAAAATACATTAATAGCAAAATACTGTCTGTAGTTTACGCGAGTAGTACACATTTAAATAAAACACTTTAACGGTTTAAAACGCGATATATTAGTTAAACTTATTTAAAAATGATTTTTAACTTCGGCCCGACGTTTCGGATGCTTTGCAGCAGCCGTGGTCACGGGGAGCAACTACTTGACGGGCTCGGGCGTAATAGTAGCAATATACGACTAATAATCGTCCGATCTCCACTGGATCCAACATTTTCTAATCAATTTACAATTTTTCTGAAACATGTTCGACTTCGTCTGGAAATCTGGATATTATATGGGTGTTGGGAATTACGAAATTCCGTCCAGATCACGGATGAGAATGGTGTGAAGTTTAGTCGCGTTTCAGTATTAATCATTCGATTTCCGAATAAACAAAGCCAAAATAGGTCGACCGAGCATCTCGTGTAGATGTTATGTAGTTGGGGTATTCATCAAGTGAATTCCATACTTGTCTGTATCATAAAAAAACATTTAATATAATAACAACATGTATAGCCCCTTTGAAATTATACGATTTGCGTCACGGATAGCTTTTTATTATGCAAAATGTAGCTAAGGGCGATCGTAGCCGTTTTAAATCCCTGTTTACAGCCACAGGCGGAAATGCAAAGTATAAACGGATTTATTACGGACAGTTTTACTCTTTCGAATATTTTTTTTTCAGGATTACTCGCCAACACATTTACCAAATAATCCTCTGTCGGGCCTCGTGAATTTGTGTATGTGGTTTTTCGAATGGCATCAATTAATTACATGATCTCTTATAGAATTATTATTGAATCATCAGTTATAAATCATAACCATTAGGTACCGTTCTTTTACGTATATAAATATAAACAGTACAATATTCGTGAGTTCCATATTCCAGTTCGATATTTTAATTCCAAATACCTCAATAAAACATTTTGCTATTATCAGCACGCTTAGAAACGTGTAAGTAACATTACCAATAAGAGATGGCGCTAGTAGTCTTATAAGTAATTCAGTGTTATGACTGAGTATCTCAGACAGATATTTGCGGCGATGAAGTAAACGGGACTATTAAATCGTTCTCTTAGTTTAGTCATTGGCTAAATGGCGGGAACCGCCAGTGGCAGAGCATCCGGTGGTACAGTCATCAAATACAGGTACCTACTGTACAGACAAACACTGACTAATTTAAATAAAACACTTTAAGGGTTTAAAACGCAATACACATTGGTTAAACTCATTTGAAAATTATTTTAGGGACGAAGTTAAAAATAATTTTCAAATAAGTTTAACTAATATATATCAAAAATAAAAGTATTTTAAGCCGTTAAAGTGTTTTATTTTTGTACTACTCGCGTAAACAACAGACAGTAATTAAAAACTGACTAAAACAAATGTAGGCACTCGACTTCATCTTTACCGTTTAGACAGTAGGAATTAATAGTTACATGTTTGATAAAACGACCCCGATCATAACATACTCTTAAAAAATAACAACCTCCAAAACTTCTTAACTTCCTATATTAATTAAAAAAGCAAATAGGACATTAAGCATTGTCTGTAGTTAACGTGAGTGGACACTAAAATAAAACACTTTTAACGGTTTAAAACTAAGTTTCAACTAAGGCTCGACGTTTCGGTTGGTTTACAGCAGTCGTGGTCGCAAGCCGATTGAAATAGACGGTATAAACATCTTGTTATTGTTGACTGTATGCCTAACGGCTTGCTTTTTTTCCGTGATAATTACCATTATTTACCTTTCTAAAGAATTTACGAATCAAAGCAAGATAATAAAAGAATTGACCTCATCTCGCAGTAGCCGTTGAATATTTAATTCATGTTTTTCTCCTTCCTTTGGTCCACTTAGTTTATTTCCTTAGAATCTCACTACAAACAGAATTGGCGAAATACTAAACGTCGTTGTTCTGTTAGTGTTCTACAGCCCACAATTAAGTTAGTTCTTAGATTAAATTTGCAATTTGGATAGAGAATCAAAAAACCAATTCAAATTTGGTTACCTGTAGTTCACGCAAATACCTCATAGTGCATTGGATTATATTATATATTAGTTAACTTTTAAATTACTACAAATTTGGTTCTATTAAATGTTTTCGATTGTAAAATTTTATAACATATGTTATACTAGCTGTGTCAGCGATTTCGTCCGCGTAGAGTAGTCATTTTGGGTATCCATATTCGTTTTTGCAACCCCTTCCATTTTTATAAACTTAATCTGTTACCCACGGCGTCGGTGGCGTCCCTTCCGTTCGTCGTTCTTGCAAGTTAATCTTAAAAGATAGACATATAGCCTGGAACTTTTTTAGATCATTTAAAGAAGAATCATTCTTTCATACTTCTTGCTGTATCTTCACTTGTATTAGTCAAATGTTGATAGCGATGTTTTATAGCCTTCCTCAATAAATGTTCTAACCAACACAAAAATAAAATATTTTTTCAATTCGTACTAGTAGTTTTTGAGATTAGCGCGTTCAAACAAACAAACGGACAAACTCTTCAGCTTTATATATTAGTATAGGTTATAGTATATCTTAACTTTAATTTATTGAGCTGTGGTGACTATATATTTGTGATAGTAGTAGACTTTACTAATGTCCCAATTCTTCCACAGATGCGATGAGGGTGGAGGCGGCGCGGCGACTGGCACGGGGGGGCGGACGGCGTCGCTGCGACTTGCGAACGGTCGCGTCGCAGCGCAGTCGGCCGAACAATTGCCGCATTCGCCAGCGGACTGCGCCTCCGTGCGTATTTCCATGGACAACACCAACACCTGCTGCACCGACTCATTGGTCACGGCTCTGGACGATGAGACGTTGCTTCTAGGTAAGTCGGTTTGAAGGTAGACTCCGTTGCGACTGGTCGTTGTTGCGACTGGTCGTTGTTGCGACTGGTCGTTGTTGCGACTGGTCGTGGTTGCGACTGGTCGTTGATGCGATTAGTCGTGGATGTAATCTAAAATCTTAATGTCATTAGGCAATATGTTAAAGCGTAGGTAGAAACTAAAGAGCTCTTTTAAACTCTATTCCCTTTTTCTCTTTAAATAAAAAATTTTTTTTTTTACTTTATATTGGTACAAAACATAATATAATAAAAAAAAAACATCGTATTAATAGAAAAAACATACCAAAAATCAAAAATAAGGATATTGTCCGGCTAAAAATAGTTGAAATTATTGTCGATTTGGGCACTGACTAGGTACCGTCAGCCATTTTATAAGTATCAATGAAACATACGCTGAAAGAAAGAGACAAAACACTGGATGATGAAACAAAAGACTAAAGAGATAATAAAGTAATTAAAAAATATAATAATATGAATTATTTCTTAATCCTACAAAGAGTCTCATAAAAATTGCATTTTAACACAAAGGAATCACAATTACAACAGCTCTAAACAAGTGATCAAGACAATATACTTATATCACGTATAACAAAGTATACCGTGACTGAAGGTGATAGATCATAAGTGCCCTAGCCCAGTAAATGAGCCTTGGTCGGTAGGAATCTAGAAATTCCGCCGGGTCACGTACCACCGTCCAGAGATAAAAAAGACATGAACTTTAATCGCGTTTCAGTTTCAGTCTGCGGATTTCCGAATAGCCAAAGCTATAATAGGCCGACAGCGCATCTTGTTTACATGCTACAGGCTGGGGTAATTCACCTCCCATAAAGTGAATCTTACGCGTATCTGTCTTCCCCTATCGTTAAAAAAATGAGCAACCGACTTACGTTCGCGAGCTCGGGAGTAGATTTAAAAAATGGTCTAAAACCATTTCTCATTCTAAAACCCAAGTAATAAGTTAAAATTAATTAAGTATAAATTAATATGCTACTAATCGGGAAAGTACCAGAACAATGTCTTGGAAAATCCCTTGACATTAAAAAATAGATTTACTACTAACAATGATATTCGTTAATCGTAGTTTTGTAAACAGAGCACGAAGTGGCAAACGATTAAATTAAAATAAATTTCAATTTAGTTAATTTGATAAGTCATTAATTGAGGCCGACAGAGGCAGAGTAGCCTAACTGCAATTTTATGATTTGATTTTTTTTTAGTCAAAACCACGGGCCCCAAAATTTTAGATATTTGAATTTTATTAAAAATTTCACTAAGTATTGCGCATTTTTATTTTCCTTTTTTAAAGTTTGATGATATATTTTTGTTTTAGCCACTCTGGCTCTAGCCGCCCCTATTTTTTTTTTTTTTTTTTTTTTTTTTTTTTTTTTTTTTTTTAATTTATATTAATTATTGTCTGTTGTTGTCGAGAAGAGAACACATTTAAATAAAACGCTTATAACGGTTTAAAACGCGAAGTGTATTAGTTGTGTAAACGAGAAGTGGATGAGTATTAATAATGTGTATACTTTATTAATAAGTTTCTCGTATAAGTGATTCTTGTAATCTGAGTGGGAAATAAATGCCTTTAAACCGAAGTGCATAAGTTAACTTATTTACAATATATTTTAACTATGCTTTACAGCCGTGGTCACGGGGGTTTTTATTCGTTGTACTACTGCTTACATTTACGCTATATCCTCTATTCATTATTTCACATAATGTCTTTAATATCTTTTATAGATTTTTGACTGGCTTGGTGGTATAACGGTAGCAATGTATCGATGTTCGATCCCAACCAGATCCAACATTTTCGTAATCATTTTATAATTTCTCTGAAACACGTTGGACTTCTGGATGGATATTAAATTGATAGTGGGAATATCGAAACCGTGAGTTGTATACAGATTCGATTTTGGTCAGTGGATTTCCAAATATCCAAAGCCAAAATAAGTCGACAGCGTGTGTTGCTAGATGTATACAGATGTAGGCACCTACCATCAAGTGATCGTCATGCCTCAATCTTAAAAAAGCAATAACAGCGCCTAAATGCCTACGTCCTAATCCAAGTCGAAGAGCTATGATGTCACAATTGACGTCATCTCATTGTCATATTAATGGATATATTCCGAGTGCTTTGTCTTGTCGAGTCTTGTGTACACAAACTGAGTATTGCAGGCACTCAACAATACTTCTGTAAATACTGAAAGTTGTAAGACAGTATAAAAAATATTGCAAATGTTTCATAAATGCATTCACCTTTTGAATTAATAAACACAGCCTAGCTTAACAGTTAACGAGAAACGTCCAATAATTTAAATAAAACACTACGGTTTAAAACGCGATATATTAGTTAGTTAGTATTGGGTCTCCCCGAGACCACGACTGCTGCAAAGCATCCGAAACGTCGGGCCGAAGTTAAAAAATAATTTCCAAATAACTAATATATCGCGTTTTAAACCGTTAAAGTGTTTTATTTACATGTGTACTACTCGCGTAAACTATAGACAGTATTTAACGTCCAATGAGTTTCTGTCCTCCAGCGCCCCGCCCGACCGAAATTTTGTGCCCTGTGCCTGTCAAGTCTGCTCAACTAATTGTTTATACTACCTAAAGCGGATACAGAAATGTGTTCATCATTGCGTTGGTTTATTGTATGGTGTAGTCGACATGCTGTGAATAGTATTTAGTATAAACTTCACGGCTTTTTCATCTCTGGACGGTGGTTCGCAAATAGGGTGGAATATCGATATTCCTATCACCCATTTATTATTTAGATTTCAAGACGCAGTTTTAGAAAAAAATATAAAATGATTAGATAAACGTTGGACCTGGTGGGGATCAAACCCACGACATATTTAGTAGCCATATATTTACCAACAAGCACGTCCTGCTTGTCCATCGTCCTCTATCATAAAAAAATATTGCATTTATTTATATGGTTATATTAACTATATATTTCTGATAAATTAAATCTAGTGATATTATAATGATCTTGGAATTTAACGAATCTCCTGGAAAATACCCAAAACGTAATCCCCCTTTGATTTGGCTGAAAATCTCTCGAGAGCCAGATCATTCTTACAGTCTTTACCCACTTATCTATTTAATCTCTCGTACGCCTACCTGTTTATAAGTTATCAAACCAGAACATAATATTTTGTCCTATTTACTATGATTTCTACATTTAAATAGTGTCTTAAAAATATAATTATTCTCTGGAGTCTAAACGAAGATATAAATCATATTACGAAGAGGAAGAGTTTGTTTGTTTAAAATCACTAATGTTAGAGACTGATTCAAATTGAATCGTTTAAAATCATTTTCTGGTGGAAACCATTTATCGAAGAAAGGTATAAGCTTTATAATATCACGCTGCAAAGAATTCCAGTGGAAAAACAATGGAAAATGTATAATATTTAGGGCTTTCGTTGCGAAAACGGTTCAAGAAAAAAAAAGTATATCGTTTGAAAACTTTATTATTTTTACATGTTATTGCACATGGAGGCACTATATAATTTAAAAATCGAAAATAAATTGAAAAAAAAGAGCGACAGCACGGAACGCCGACGATGCCGGTTCAAGTTCCTGCCCGAGTCGAAAATTATTTCAATTTATTATCGATTTAAAAAAAAAAGTATACGAAATAATGATTTCTCTTAAACTTTCAAAAAGATGTCCTAGTGTGATGGACATATATCGATTTTTTTATAAACTCGCACGAACCGTTCTTACGGTAATGAAATTTGGCCGAAATAAATGCAAACCTAATAATATTACTCATGCAAACAATACACCGTTTGTCGGATCAACGATCAACAAATAAAACGTACAGTTAAAAAGTCTCCAATGACTTGTAAACGATATTTCAACCTTTATTTCCTATTAGCAAGTTCCAAGTAAACAAGTTTCAGTAAAAAGACGTACGGTTCAAACTTTAAGCCCACTAAAGGCTGCGCCAAATCCAAGACTCAGTAATTACTGCTCCTAACTACGGTTTGTGGCTTTTGAATTTGTATTTTATTCTTTCTTTTTATAACGCTGAAGTGTCGTTGTGTTTCGTGGAGAATCCTTACGTTTAAATAGCAGAATATTTCAGTGGGCGCGCTCGTCTTAACCCTGACCTATTTTGTAACAACGTCATTATTGCAGCGACGAATACAGTAGTGATCCACGTAAATTTTAAATTGTTAGTAAGCGAGACTGAAATACAATTTATCTTCGTTAAGTTTTAAAGAATTGTCGGCGGGCTTTTGTTAGAAAAGCAGACAACGCAAAAACGAGAGAGAGAGAGAGATAGAGAACTATTTTGAAGGGCTTTTTGGTCTAATGGTAGCAATGTTTGTTTCATAACAATCAACGGACTGTGCGTTCCAACATTTTTTTAATCAATATATAATTTTTCTGAAACACGTAGTGGTTATATTTAAATAAAACAATTTAACGGTTTAAAACGCGATATATTAGTTGAACTTATTTCAAAATGATTTTTAACGTCGGCCCAACGTTTCGGATGCTTAAAAGCAGCCGTGGTCACGGGGAGGCTGAATCATTTTCAGATAAGTTTATCTAATATATCGCGTTTTAAACCGTTCAAGTGTTTTATTTAAATGCGTACTACTCGCGTAAACTATAGATAGGAATCATTCACGTAGTTATATCTAAATTTCGGGTCGTTATTTAATTTGTGGATATAAACATTTTGTCCATATTTCCTATATGGCTCAAAAGAACCCCTTCTTTGTTCTCCTCCATCAAAACAAATATTGTTAAAGTAATAATCATAAGGCTTTTTATAATCTCACACTATACATGTTTCGATAATGATCTTAAAAGTATGTTTATGTATCTTATAATAAAAGTTGTATTTTCGTAATTAGAAAAAAAATACTTACATTTTTCATTGTGAATTAGATAAGTTGTTTAAGTATTTTATACTGTAGGTACCACACCTTTCTATATAATATCTTAAACAAACGTTTTACATATATATTTTAATATATATGTATGTTTATTTTAAGTCATATATGACTCGGTTATTTGGTCACCTGTACGTGATACGGTTGAGATTATTTGAAAGACGCGAGGAAACCACCATGGGGTAAGTCCCCAATCTTATTTATGCAAAAATAACACGCGCACGCGCTGATTTCAATCTACACTAATATTATAAAGCAAATTGTGTATTTGTTTAAATGCGCTAATCTCGGGAACTATTGGTTCAAATCGAAAGATTTTTTTTTTGCCTTGGTTAGAGCATTTATCGAGTGTGGAAAATGAGATAAGAACGGGGGAAATCTTTGATGGCTTCCGTCACGTGCCCTGCGAAAATGGTTCAAAAACCAACAATTTAAAGAATTATTATTCCTTTAAATTGAACAAATTTGGAAATTAATGCTTTATTTATTACTAATTATTTGTGAGAATTGTATCAACATAATAAAATTAATATATTTATAGCGAGTAGTAAACATTTAAATAAAACATTTTAACAGTTTAAAACGAAACTTCGGGCCACGTACCTACGTTAAACGTAAAAATACACAAGTTTAACTAATATATTTCGCGTTTTAAACCGTTAAAGTGTTTTATTTTTAATATAAACCTTGTAAAAATTAACGCTAGGTTATATCGTTGTACCGTAAACTGGTTTTATATTTTACCTAAGGCCTGTAGAAATTTAAGTCTATTTAAAACTCCATTTATTTATCCCAACCGTAATGAAAGAGGGTCAATTGAAACACCCAGAGGTTATAATTAACAAGAGTCAAGCATACTCTACCACTCGCGGAAGCAGTTTTCAAGATGATAGTTATTCAATTAATAATTCAAGCTGCCTATTGGCATTTTTAATTAATGACGTCATAGCGGTTAAATTAACTAAGGCATTACCGTATGTAGTTTACGCGAGTAGTACACATTTGAATGGAATACTTTAACGGTTTAAAACGATATGTTAGTTGAACTTATTTGAAAATTCAGATGCTTTGCAGCAGTCGCGGTAACGGGGAGACACGGGGAAACGCCGGCCGGTAGTTGAATTATTTTCAAAGAAGTTTAACAAATTTCGCGTTTTAAACTTCGGCCCGCGTTTAAGTGTTTTATTTACAGTAGGCGTAATTCATTTATATAACTAGCTGTAGTTCATTGATTATAAATATTCTGTAAATTTTAAGTTTGCCTGGAATATATCGCTTTTAAACCGATAAGGCCCCGTTTCTGTTTGAATTTTTTTTAAGGATCGCGTAAACGATCGATCTGCATTTATTTTGGCTTCAGACTATTAGAATATCCACAGCCTGAAACTTCAAAACGCCAATAATACTTTCCGCCTTTTTATTCTGTGGACGGCACTTATTGTTTAAAACCCAGACAGAACTAATTTGAAAATTATTTGTTTGTTGTGAAAGTTTGAAAATGCTATTTTGTTTTGTTGTGAAAGTGTGAATTTGCTTCTTCCCCGAAGCATGTATTAGTACCAAATGTCTTACTTTTTTACGTTTAAGAAGGCTGCATAAGCGTTTGGTTTTAATTCAAATTTCCAACGGAGTCTTGCTTACAATTTCATTTGAATAACAAATCTTCTTGTAAAACGGCGACTATTTGTAGTACGTTATAACAAACTACATAAAGCGTTTAAATATAGTACCCTTTTAACGGTTTAAAATGCGAAATACTTGTATTGATTATACTATTTTTAACTGCGGCCAAATGAGACCCGTCTCCCGTGTCCACACGTGCATCCGATACGTACGTACAGGTCGTAGTTAAAATATTTTTAAAATAAGGTTAACTAATAAGTTTTGCCTTTTGAACCGTTAGAAGTGGTTTTTATTTTTATTTTTACTACTCGCGTAAACTACGGACAGTTCTTAACTTTGAAACGTAACTTTTATTCCCTAGACACATGTATGTATTATTAACGACACACTCTTTTCTTCACTTTTTCTAGTATTTATTATTGATAGTAGACATTAATTGTATACTATTATTTATATGTTAAGGTTAACTTGTACTATAATTCCGATATATGACTAATGTTCTTATCAAACATTCGCGAGAAGGTCAAACAAGAAGGCCAAAACAAAAGGTAATAACACAACAACTAGAATAGCCCTTAGGATGTAATTACCCTTGCATATAATTATATTTAATTTAACAGAAAGGTCCTAACTTCGATTCCCATCGAGTGTCATAGTTTGTAAATCATTATCTAATTTTCAACACGTTAGACTCGGTATGAAAAATGTGGACATTAAATAAGTTTGAATGAAACATTTTTAACGGTATAAAAACGCAAAAAATCTGATTTTAATAATTTTTACGTTTCTAGTGCTTTGTTGCCGTCTTGGCCACGGGGGGGACTGTAGATAATTTATCTGGTCGCTTTATCGTTTTAATCCGTCCAACGTGTCTTATCTAAAATTATTTAATGAGATTAAATAAGTAGTAAGTCCTGTCTATAGTTTACGCGAGTAGTACACATTTAAATAAAACACTTTAACGGTTTAAAACGCGATATATTAGTTAAACTCTCCCCGTGACCACGGCTGCTGCAAAGCATCCGAAACGTCGGGCCGAAGTTAAAAATCATTTTCAAATAAGTTTAACTAATATATCGCGTTTTAAACCGTTAAAGTGTTTTATTTAAAAGTAGTAAGTCCTTTATCCGGTTTTATTTCAATTGCCAAAGACACAATAGATCGACAGGGCATCTTAATTATTCGATATATTGTCTTCTATCTTCTTTGTTACAGTGAAAGCATATATATTATATATTTTCATAATTATCAACGAACGGGAATCGAACCCTCCCTGGTTATTAACGGCATCCAGTATATAAGGTTATACGACGAAAGATGTCTTATCAATTTTAAAGAATAATTGCTTAAAATGTTTATTCATTGAAAAATTAACTCATTCACCAATGATTTCCGATTGCTCAAAAAAAACAGCCGGTTGTTAAAAATTAGATATTCTCGACAAAAAGGTCTTTAACAATAATAAGAGAATGTTAAATGGCTTTTTGTCGTTAATAAAAATCAGTAAAAAAAACAACTAAATTTATACGTGTTTTCAACCGGAAATTCAGTTTTATCTTCTTCGAACTTTGAATAATACTACAGATTTAAATTAAATATTTTTAACGGTTTAAAACGCAAAATTCACTAGTTAAATCTATTTACAAATTCTCTCCAAAACGTCGGACCATAGTTAAAATAATTAAATATGTTTATTATAATTTCGCGTTTTAAACTGTTAAAAGTGTTTTATTTAAATGTTAATAGGAACAGAGTGCAGGGTTCCTGCTTACATGAAATTTAAGTAACTTTTTCTATTATTTATATCTTATCTATAAAAATAGATATTTTTATCGTATACAATCGGAGCCAATAAGACGTTTTATAAATTTTTTGGTAAAATCAGGAAATTATGCTATTACAATATTATTTTATATTTTAGCTAAATATAGCTAAATACTGTTTATAGTTTACGCGAGTAGTACACATTTAAATAAAACACTTTAACGCTTTAAAACGCGATATATTAGTTAGTTGACTAAATAAAGCTATTGACTGCACGTCAGTTAAAGGTAGAACAGTGTGTTCTAATCCTATTTTTTTGTTATAATGAACTTTTAAACCTCTTCTCCTTTCTATTTTAGTTAACTTAACATTCGAATAGATAAAAAATATTTAATTAGTTTAAAAGAGATAATTGAAGGAAATAGCGGATTTTTATTGCATACCATCGGTAACGATAATTTTCAAAATTTTTGGTTAAAAAAATAAATATTTATATTTGAGCTAAATTAAGCTAGCACGATTAAAGATAGAACAGTGTGTAATCCTTTTTTAACCTCACTCACAATGAACTCAACTAAGGCCCGTTCTAGATATAGAACGAGCACGACAAAGTTAACATTGACCATGAAACAAGCGAGATCTAGAATGACATCGCGCATGGCAAACTTCGGGAGGACACACTGCAAGCGACGCGTGCAGTACTCCACCGCCCAGCAACGCGAGCTGATGTGCCCATAACATCTTGAACCCACCACGCGCGTGTGAATTCTATACTCGCAAGATACAGTGCACGAAAATGTCGCCACAAGGATTTCACTGTGACGTTCGTAGATAATTATTCTGGGGGCTTTTGTGTTGTCCGAGTGTTTAACAAGTGTGAAAATTGTGTACAGATTTTGTTTTAACAGATTTGACGTTGTCGCCATCATACGATCGCTCATTTGGATTCGGATAAAATAATATTTAAAACGAAATAACATTCGCTAATTGTTTTTAGAGCAATTAATTTTTTATCACATTTCTCAAGGATCTATTTATAACAGCTACGATATCGCACACTTACACAAAATAAATTATGTTTTAGCAATTAAATACCGCAGTGGTTCAGTGGTTAAAATTTTTTTACTTAAGTTAAGTGCGCTCGATTTTCGGGTAGACAATCCATTCAGTGGGGCACAAGTCTGTCATTATCAACCCAATAAGTTAATACTGTCTGTAGTGTACCCGAGTAGTACATATATAAATAAAACATTTTAACGGTCTGATACGGGGAGACTCCCCGTGACCACTGCTGCTGCAAATCATCCGAAACGTCGGGCCGTAGTTAAAATAATTACCAAACAAGTTTAACTAATATAATTCGCGTTTTGAACTGTTAAAGTGTTTTGTTTAAATCCAATAAGTGTCTCACAGGACTGTGTCTGCTAGTGCCCGACGTACGTTTATCGGTTATAATTTGATCATAATAGAAACAAATCGTTCTGGATTTTTCTTAGCGACATTGAAATATAAACTTATCCGCATTTATTTCAATTGGCATAATCCTAGTCCGCACAGTATTTGTTACGTCCACTTGATTCCTGACATTCGAGAAATATTATATACCGTCGGTCACGTGCTATCAAGATATTGTCCGACGACGATTAATTCATGTTTATTAAAGAAATTAACTCTACGAGCGCTATATTGAATACCTCCACTAATTGTATGTCGGACGCGACGCCTTTGTCCTGTATTCTTGAATCTAAAATCTGTGCCACAGACTATGTATAAAATTGTATGTGCATCGAATTCGGACCGTGCTTTTGGGTCAGTTCAAATGTTAGTGGTTTGCGAGTGCGTTTGCACCGCGGACGAAAATATCTTTATTAAACAAATAAATATTTATGTCCCATTACTCGCAGAAATAAATGATTGAGTTGCAAAGTGCAAATTATATTATTTAAAATAAAAGTAAATTTTAATTTTAAAAAAAATTAACATGTGTTACTTGAACTGGGGTCTCACGGTGGCTACATTGGTTAGCAGTCGCACAGAACGCTATAGATAACGGTTCGAGTCCCGCTCATGTCATAAAGTTTCTTCAATCTAAATAGATTTTAAATTAAATACTGTCTATAGTTTACGCGAGTAGTACACATTTAAATAAAACACTTTAACGGTTTAAAACGCGATATATTAGTTAAACTTATTTGAAAATGATTTTTAATTATGGCGCTAGCGTAGCAATTTTTTACTTTGACGTCAGAGACATCCTCCATCTTTAGTCTCCCCGTGACCACGGCTGCTGCAAAGCTTCGGATGCTTTGCAGCAGCCGTGGTCACGTCGGGCCGAAGTTAAAAATCATTTTCAAATAAGTTTAACTAATACATCGCGTTTTAAACCGTTAAAGTGTTTTATTTAAAAGATTTTAAATTAATATAATGCCATCGTACACAACAACACGTGTAAAATATTAAATTTTCAAAATTATTTTATTTATTATTTATTCTCTGACAAGTATAGAAATATTTTATTTCCGCGGTTAATTAACAATAAATGTTAAATAATCGGGAAAATAAAATATTTTTAAAATCTCTTAAATACTGAAAAAAACACATATCATTTATTTGTTTGTTTAACTGAAAATATATTCACCCTAGTGTATAAAATAATATAATTCTAAAACAGCTACAGAACAGTAATCTTAAAATGATTTATAAAACTATAATTAATGCATCGTTTTTAAAGATTCACCCGAGCTTTTGGCATCCAAAAAAGATGCCCTGTAGACCTCTTTTCGCTTTGGATATTCGGAAATCCACAGACTGAAACCGAAACGCTAATACGACTTTTTCATCTGTGGACGGTGTGTCGTGTCCCGAACGGACATTTATCCGGACGGACGGACACGGATTTCTATATCCTACCACCCATTTAACATCCAGATTTCCAGATTTTGGACATTTTGGACCCGATGGAGATCGGATCACGACCCGTTGATTATTAGCCATACATTGAAAAAGCTTAACATCGTAAAAGCCCCTCAATAAATGAACTATCAAACGTTCAAATAAACAAACAATATTTTGCATATTTAATTGGACTTTTCAACTATCCGACATTCATTCGGCGTGCGGTGGTGTTATTTCGATAATTTGAGGCTTTGTTTTAATTGGAGTTCTCTCCCACAATTGATTTTAGTGTAAAGAACTTTTGGATAATAGAGGTGCATATAAACAATTAATTGTTACTACTACTGTTAAAAATAAGGTAATATGTTTAATACTTAACGATTATCAAGCACTAGCTGTGACAGCGGCTTCGTCCGCGCGTTTCTACTTTATAAATTTAAGCCAATTCCCACACAGTCGGATGCGTCCCGTCGTTCTTGTAAGTTAATCTTATAAGATAAACGTATAGCGTCTCGGAACTTTTTGTAGATAATTTAAAGATATTCTCTTTAAATTAGAAAAAGTTCCGAGGAGCGAAAATGGGAAAATTACTCATTTTTCTCTTCGGAAACGGTTCACGATACCCAAAAAATATGTAAGAAAGAATTATTCCTCTTTAAATTATCCAAAATGTCCATTATTTGTCTACCTTGTATGATAAACTTGCAAGAACGACAGGACGCGACCGATGTCGTGGGTCTAACTATTCTACGCGGACGAAGTCGCTGACATAGCTAGTGTCAACGCCGGTGATAGTGACAGCTGTGACATATTATATTGAATTTCTTTTCATATAATACACAGTTCAATGCATTATTGGTCTAGAAAATTGTTTAATTGAATCATTATAATTAAGAATCTTGATATTCCACAATGGAAAATATTCTAAGAAACGTAGTCAGTCTCAATATTGTATCGTACTCAGTATGACATCCAACCTACGTGCTCGTTAAAACCGCATTAAAAATATTCTAGTCATTAAAGGTAGAACAATAAGATACCTAAACATTTTATTTCATGTCTGTAGCTTATGTGAGTGGTAAACGTAATAACAATTATTTCGCGTTTTAAACCGTTAAAATTTTTTTATTTGAAAATAATGAAAACTTCTCTAGATGATGTAGGTATTGTAGTCACTAAGATACTTACATATTAATTCATAGTATAATATTAATTATTTCGCGTTTTAAAACGTTTTTTTTTCATTCGAAAATAATAAAAACTTCTCTTAATGACAAAGGTAGGTTCTCATTAAAATATTCATTACAGTGATTATAAATCTAGGTGCAACCAAAATCTCCGTTACTTTTTATACCTAGTTGGGTTTTTGCGTTACTCGAATAAAAGTAGTGAATAGTCCACTTTTTGTATGCATTCCGACAAAAGCCTTCACCTTGGTAATGAATTATTCTGCCACTAGTACTCTACAAAAACAGTGTTCGGCCACAGTGCTAGCCGAACGCGGTTACGATATCGCGCTAGTTCAACATCAAACATGAAACACGCCTGCGTCCATAGCGTAAGCGATCAATAAATTCAACAGTAAAAAATAATTTTAGTTACTATATTTCCCTATCTATCCTATTTTATAATAATAACAAACTGAAAACCTTTTGAAGACCTATTAATAAGTATTTCATGAAACAAAAACTGTTATTTAAATGAAACACATTTAACTGGTTAAAACGCAAAATGTATCTATTGTCTTCCCGTTGACTTTAGCTGCTTTTCGTTGGCGTTTGCAGCTATCGCAAAGAAGTAACGTCCACCTCCGTATTAATAATGAAAGTGAGTACTATTTACTTAAACTAACTACTTTTAATACAACAAAATAAACAAACCCCCCCCCCCCATGACCCCGGATAATGCAATGCATCTGAAAGGTGGGGCCTTAAGTTATATAATTCAGTTAAAAGTGTTTTATTTAAATACTTACTTACTCTGTCACCGTGGCCACCGGTCGTTTCGCCCGACGCCCTTTCGACTCGAATGCACTGGGGACCCACATTTACAGTCAATGTTGCCAGTTTCTCTTTTAGCACGGAAACACTAAAATAACTGCTACGATAAAATTATGAATGAGATTTTAAAAATCAACACAACATAGCGCGGAATCGTTAAAAATCGCGAACCTTTTTATTAATGTTTTGTTTATGTTCCGCTGAAATAGAAACTGTTTTTGCGCCGTTATGACGCGACGTTCTTAATTAATTATGGTTCAGATTTTATAATTCTCTTTTAGTTCACATTAATAAAATTAAAATGAATTTTATAATTTTCAGAAAAACCATTTTCTAAACTAGCTCCGCTGAAAATTAGTCTTTCAGTTATCTTTCGATTCAAATTAATACTTGTCTCTACCTGTATGGTTAATTATCCAAAGTTATTAATGAACGTTTCGTATTATATAAATTAAAAACTTAATATCCAAACGCAATAATACGTCGACGGCACATCTTGTTGAAATAATTATTTATTTATTTCTTAGAAATAGATCATACAGATACACTATGAAATTTTAATACTATAGTGTACCAAGTGGCCTTAGCGCTATAAGCGATCTCTTCCAGGCAATGCGAGTAGAAAAACAATTATAATTAAAACTAGACAAAGTGTATAAACCTAGAAATGTTGTATGGCACACGTATTTTACCTTCCATCAAGTGAATCGTGCTTGTCTGTACTCTATCATTACAAAAAACGGTCTAAAGATAGGTATATCAGCAGATATATAAGTTTTCCTTAATTAAACTTTCTTGGGAAAATACTGAATAACTTAAACTTTACTAGTGATACAATGTAGCGGAAAATAATGTGTTTTTGCTAAATTGAATGCCATAAAAATAATCGTTGTAGCCAGCTTTTTTACATCCTACCGCTAAGCGCAAGTCTCTCATAGTACCGCACCACACCAGTGCGGCTCGGTGGGCTGTATCAAGCATACCCAATAATGGATGATGAAGTGGTGTGAATATGGGAAAACCAGAAATTCCGGCACTAAGTCGAC